TGACATTTTCATAATTGGATATAACATAATTTTCTCCATTTCAATCCCCAGTGCTGTCCCCTTTCCTTACTTCCTCCTTCCTCTGAGCCCTGTCCTCTATTCTATTGGTCTTCCTTCTATTAATTAATTAATTAATTTTTAAATTGATTTAAGGAAAATAAATGACAGCACAATGCATTACAATTCTTATTACACATAGACAGCACAATTTTTCACATCTCTGGTTGTATATAAAGTATGTTGACACCATTTATTTTTTTAATTGGTACATTATAGTTATACATAAAAGTGGAATTCACTATGATATATTCCCTATGTTTGCATAACTTAATTTGGTCAGTTTCATTTCACGGTTTCTCCCCTTTTCCACCCCTCTTTAATCCCTTTCTTCTACAGTTCTCTCTTCTATTTTCATGAGATTTCCCCTTTTTAAAATTTCTCATTTCTCTTTATTTTCTGTGCATGAGAGAAAACATTTGACCCTTGACTTTCTGAGTCTGGCTTATTTCACTTAGTTTGATGTTCTCCAGTTCCATCCCTTTACGAGCAAATGACATAATTTTATTCTTCTTTATGGCTGAGTATTCCAAGGATTGGGAGAGCTGGGCCATATGGGGATTCCATCCTAGTCTTTTGAGGACTCTACACACTGCCTTCCAAAGTGGTTGTCCTAGTTTGCAGTCCCACCAACAGTGCATAGTATACCTTTTCCCCTACTTATTCTCCTGCATTTGTCATTATTTGTGTTTTTGATGGTTGCCATTCTACCTGGAGGGAGATGAAATCTCAGTATAGTTTTGATTTGCATTTCCCTAATTGCTAAGGATGTTGAAAATGTTTTCATATATTTGTTGGCCATTTGCATTTCTTCTTTTGAGAAATGTCTGTTTAGTTCATTTTCCAATTTATTGATATGGTTACTTGTGTGGATTTCTTTCTCTCTCTCTCTTTTTTGGTGTTAAGTTTTTAAGTTCTGTATGTTTTCTGGATATTAATCTCCTGTTGAAAGAGTAGCTGGCAAAGATTTTGTCCTATTCTGTAAGCTCTTTCTTCACTTTTAAATGTTTCTTTTTCTATGCAGAAGCTTTTTAATTTGATGCCATCCCATTTAATGATTTTTGGCTTTTATTTCTTGAGCTTTAGGAATCTTATTAAGGAAGTGGTGCCTATTCCAGTATGTTGAAATATTGACTCTCTATTTTCTTCTAGCAGTTGCAGTGTTTCTGGTCTATTTCCTAGGTCTTTCATCCACTTTGAGTTGAATTTTGTGCAGGGTAAGAGATTGAAATCCAGTTCCATTCTTCTGTATACGGATAGCCAGTTTTCCCAGCACCATTTATTAAAAATGCTATCTTTTCTCCAGTGTATATTTTTGGCACATTGGTCAAGAATCAGATGACTATATCTATATCTACATCCGTCTCTAGT